ACATTTATTGCTATCTTTAGGATTCACTAATTTATGAATAACTTTTCAAATTGATTTTAGAGTTTTTTTTTGGGAGGAAGGTTCAATATTATTGCATACCTTATTGAACTGATAGTATTGTCTGTAAATATCCATTTCTGACGACTGATTACAGCTGTGTTGAAATACGGTTCAGTAAGTTGAAATAGTTCATAAGACAAACAACAGTTTTGTTGCTGTTACAAATTTACTTTATGTCAAGCTTTTCTTTTTAAATTAAGCTTATTTTGTTCATTGTAATCAAATAGTATAGTTGTAGAAGCGCCGTAAGATTTTAGAAATTTATATATATATTACATAAAAGTTGCTGTGAAATCACAATATTTTGTTGCTAGTCAGTTAAATAATTTATGGATGAATAATTGGGAAGAATATCGCTAACCATTGAGGATTTTGGTCCAACAACTTTCTGCAATTGTAATGAAAAGAAAGTTGAACTAAAAAGTAGAAAGCTTGGCAACGGGGATATACAACGGCTATTGGGATTGACTGCAAAATCAATTATCATACATTTGGCTATTCTTTTCAGCTATAATAATGCTGTTAGCAATAATTTTTTTTAGTATGGTATATTGAGCTCAACTTGGCATACTAAAAGTCATTAATTTTTAATAATCATTATCTAATCTTACAACATTTAATTGGAAAGAAAATTGTTTAGCAGTTTAATGTTATATTTTTTAATTTTTTTTTTTTGAACTCGCTGTTAATGATGGTTTTGTTGAGGCTTTGTTTTTTTGTATATTTATTATTATTTTAGTCATTTGTACAATATGATTATCAAGATTACAACAGATATAATTGATAAGCAATTTTTGAAACAACTTTATTGGTTTTCATCATCTTTACATCGGTTATACGTTTTAGCAGAACGAAAGAAAAGAAAAACGAGTTAACAGTTGAATTTTATTGTTATGTAATTGTCTGTTTAATAAAACGAAACATTGGGATAAGGCCAGTTAAAACGGCTTTCCCATTATTCTCATCAGTTTATCAGTGAGGAAATAAACTGGGAAAAAGCTGTGGTAAAATGAAGAATATGAAGCTGTTTAAATGTTGGACAATCTTTTGTTGTTTTCTTCTTCGTAGTCTGACTACAAATCAAAAACCGGTCATCTCCTCTACCTTATTCCGTAAACAGGAAGAAGAGTTATTTAAAGGAAGTTATGTGGTGCCCGGTGTTGCGGATATACGAATGAAAAAGAAGAAAACAATGATATTATAAAACTTCCTTTCTTGATGCGGTTACGCTTCTTTGTCATATTAAATATCTATTTCTCGGGTTTGACTAAAACATAATGACAGGCTGCTATAACTGCCTCTGGAACTTCGAGAAACTCGAGACTTCTCGTCATCATGAACAGTTGGTGTAATTCTTTTGGTGAACCTTAGTTTATCGCGTGACCACCTCTTTGTCAATTCTGCCTCCCAGACCTCAAGGCTTTGAAAAATCCGTTTGCTTAGATGAATTGTTTCTCGTCCTTCAATATTTTCCACATAATTTAGAGCATTTTTCAATGGTATATTGTGGTAGGACATAATGTATTGAAGGGCTACTGCTTGGCATACATCTTCACCATCCTTATTACACAGCATAACCTGAAAGTTATGGCCAGCAAAAGTATGATTAGCTTATTAGTTTTCAGAGATGAAAACTTTGTGATTTAATTGGATTATAATGAGCGTAAAATTAAGATTAAACTTAAGATGGCAAGGCTTGGTATTTTTTATAGCAAAAAAATTGAGCAACTGTTTTTTCTTTTTTTCGTAACAGGTGGAGATTTATTTAGCATAAAGTTTGACTGAACGTTGAACTGATCTTACATTTGTGGCATTTGCACGAGCATTTGTGATGAACTGATTGACAATCCGAAACTTGTTCAAAATTTCCTGTAAAAAAAAAGTAGAAATTAAGACTGTACAATTAAAGTGATTATCTTGATTGATCCGTAACTTGGAGACGAAGGTTTTACAGATGATTAAAAAAACTTTTTATTGTTAACTAAAATTTCATTACACAACTAATGAAATATGGTTCAAACAAATAGTTCTGCAGTAATGGATATAAAGAGTAAAAAAAAAAAAAAAAA